AACCACAGCGGAGCGCTAAAGAGGTGCAAATGGTCTTGGAATTCGTCATATCCGGACGTTTTTTAGACGTTTGCCATTGGCTATTTTGAGTGATGACGTACCCAACACTGGACAAATGAAAATGTGCTAAAAGTGCGCAGTTCTGATTGGATATCGTTGAACTGTCAATCAAGGCGAGCAGCGCCCAGAGAAACATTTGCCGTCAGTTGAAAGCGTGGAAGGCTACAGGCAACAACTCGCGCTCTCAAAGGCAGAGATTTAGTCAGAGAGAGTTCGGCTTTCCTAACTTTACTAGAATAACTCAATTTGATTGTACTTAAATTATATCACAAAAACAATAATAAATAATTCATTTAATAGAAATATTACAATATATTTATTTTATTTGTATATTTTATATTATATAATTTTATATTTCGTATAGCTTATAATAATGATGATGATGATAATAATAATAATACATTTGTGTCCATTTTAAATCGTTTCAAATTATTATAGTATTGTATTTTATTGGTTGCCACTATTTTTGTATTTATGCAACATTATTATTGCTGTTATTATTTTGTCTCCTGTTATTACAGTATAACTTTTCTTATTGCAATAAGTGCTTGATTTTAGACTGATATAAAATATGTAGGCTATAAATGATAAAAGTAGAATATATATAGTATAAAATGATAAGTACAAACGGATTAAAATATGTAGGCCTATATAGCTACATCGAAGATTTGCAAGTTTAAACAGCCAAAACTGGCTGGGTTTTTCGAACAATATTTTAAAAAAAATTAATGAAATATAAATAATTACGTGTAAGCTATGCACAGTATTTTCTTTTTTATTTGTATTTTATTGTTCTGTCAAGTTTATTATGGATTGTTTGATATACATAATATGTTGATGATGGTGTTAACGGTCTTGAAATAGATGAACATTATGTGTACTCGAGAATATACATTATATAATCTTGTTTAGGCAATGTATGTTCTTCTTTCCACAGGTATCTCATTGGAAACTACTTCAATTTGGCCTCTCCATTCATTTGCGATTCCACACAAGCTAGCGGAGTGAAGCACGTTTGTGCGCATGTCCAGTAGTTCGTCTGTGACGTCGCAATTCTGTAACCTATCCTAGAGCTCCTTGATCCAAACACAGAAAAGAGAAACTCTCTCTCTCAAAGTTTTACTTTAAGAGCAAATCATTAAAGCTATTTGGCGTTTATATTAAATATTTGTTTTATACGTCCATATAATTTGCACCCCCATGAGAAAATGTCCATTTATTTATTCCAAGCAGAAATTCTTTAGTCAACAAAATATACATTTGTAAAATAAATTAGGCTATATATAGGCTAATGTATATATAATTGTAATTGAATGTAATTTATAATCTGGCATATTTGAATGTTGTGCTTGTGGAGGTAGAAGGGAGAGATTCATGTCCACACCGTCACCAATGAGAACTCAAGTAACGGAGTATGTGATTATGGCTCCTCCCCATTTTCTCTTGAAATGAGCGAGTTCACTGAAATGCCAAACAACGACCGCGATTACTCTGTAACACACCTAATGATTCTGTCATTTTACTGACAATACCATGCAGACACAAGCTGAAGTTTCTGAAGGATAATACCGTGCTGGACTTTGTAGGTGATGCTAAAAAGCTGTCTGGACTGTGAAAGATCGTGCCATGGAATGTGAACCGTGTAAAATTTAGCAAGAAGTATTTTTCCATTTCAGTTGGATGACAAGATTACGTAAATCTAAAATTTCGGATTAAGGATTTTAGTACGATTTTTATGTCTGTATTTACAAGAAGAGCGGAAGATGGGTTAAAAAATATCCTGCGTTGAGGTCTTTAATTATAATATTACAATTATTATTTGTTGTTGCTGCTGTGGTTTTCGTTATCCTCTTTATGGTTAGCTTATAGAAATAAAACGTTGAAAATACAACTGTTGAAATACACAGAATACCAAACACATGGTCATGGACTGTAGCCTACGCATGGACTCCTTGCTTCTGCATGTATTTGTACTTAGTAATTTAAAATATCACAGAATGGCATCGACAATAAAACATCTGGAGTGATAACAGACACTAAAAACCTGAGATACATTATAACATGCACTGCGAATCATTCACCTCCTCCTCTGAGCAATATCCTCAGTTGGATGCCTAAATAACCCAATAATCACTAGTATTTATTTTCACTATAAAATAGTGTGCAATTACTTTTTAAAACAGTAGAGGGCGACGAAGGTTTAACTTGCTTTTGCACAGGCGATTTAGCCTAGCTTGATTTTTTTTCCTCCTGAAAGAGTTAACGTTAATCCTTCTTAATATCTCTCAGACCAATCATAAACCTGTGATATGTTTTGAAGTATGTATGCTACCCACGTTTTTGATGTAAAAATATCAACTTTTTGCTGAATTGAACTGTCTTTGTGTTGTTTGTAAATTAGCAATGAAAACAGATAGATAGATGATAGAGTGCTTTGAGAAAGTATTCATCCCCTTTTATTTTTTTCACGTTTTATTTTGCTGCCTTGTTGTCGTGCGTGTAACAGAGCTGTTGTGAAAACAAGCGTTGTGTCTGTAAACTGTCATAGTCGTACATTTGGGAGTTGTACCAACTGTCATGGCCGTAGATTTTGGAATCCAACTCTGACAAAAAACTAAATTACATACAATACTTTTAAATTACGCACGAGTAAATTAAAATGACACACAAATGCTTTGAATTACGTACGATTATTTTTGACAGCGATTTTATTCCATAGTTAAACTGCTTTAAATTACTTTTTGCCACATCAATCTACACGCCGTACACTATATTGACAAAGCAAAAACAGAATTGTCATAACTTCGTAAATTTATTAAAAAATAAAAAACTGAAATAAGTACATTGCATAAGTATTCAACTAAATATTTAGCTGAAGCAACTTTACAGTCTCAAGTCTTTTTTGTTTGGCAATGCCATTCTTCTCCTCACTTCTTCACCTCTCAAGCTCTGTCAGGTTGGATGGGGGCAGATGCACATTTTCAAGTTTCTCCAGAAATATCTGACTGGGTTCAAGCTCATGCTCTGGCTGGGCTACTCAAGGACATTCACAGAGTTGTCTATAAGCCACTCTTGCTGTGTGTTTAGGTTCATTGTCCTGTTGGAAGGTGAACCTTCTGCCCAGTCTGAGGTTCTGGATGCTCTGGACTAGGTTTTCATTAAGACTATCTCAATATTTTGGCGCACTGAGCTTTTCTTCTATACTCTGACGAGTACCTCAATCCCTGCCGCTGAAAAACAGCCCCACAGCATGAGGCTGCTACCAGCACACTTTACTTTTGGGATGATACTCTGCAGGTGATGAGCAGAGCTGGTTTCCTTCAAACATGATGTTTGGAATTGAGGTTCATCAGACCAGAGACTCTTGTTTCTCAGAGTCTGAAGGTCCTTTAGGTGCTTTTTTGCTAATTCCAAGTGTGTTTTCATGTGTCTTCACTGACGAGAGGATTGAGTCTTGCCACACTGGCATAAAGCCCAGATCGGTGGAGTGTTGCAGTGAGGTTTGTCCTTCTGTAGATTTCTCCTATCTCCACATATGATCATGGAGCTCAACTGACCATCAGGTTCTGGGTCACCAGTCTAGACAAGGCCCTTCTCCATCAATTGGTCAGTTTGGCCAGGAGGCCAGCTCTAGGAAGAGTCCTGGCTGTTTCAAACGTCTTCCATTAAGGGTAACAGAGACTACATTCTTCTGTGACCCTTCAATGAAGCAGAATTTTTTTCTCTTCATTGAACTCTTCCCCAGATGTGTGGCTTGACGCAAACCTGTTTCTGAGCTCTACGGGCAGTTCTTTTGACCTCAGGACTTGTTTTTTGCTCTGATATGCATTATCAGCTGTTAGACCTTTCATTAAGACGTGTGTGCCTTTCCAAATCATACCCATTCAATTGAATTTGCCACAGGTTAACTTCACTCGAAGGGTAGTAACATCTACAAGCAATATGAATGCTCCTGAACTAAATTTCAACTGTCCCAGATAAGGGTATGAATACTTATGCAATGGAATCATTTAGGTTTTTTTATTTTTAATAAATTTGCAAAGATATTAAAAACCTGTTTTTTTGCTTAACCATTATGGTGTATGGAGTGTAGATTTATGTGGGGAAACAGTAATTTAAAGCAGTTTAACAAGGCAGCAACATAACAAAACGTGAAAAAATGAAGGGGTATGAATACTTTCACAAGGCACTGTAGACAGGCAGAAAGACAGACAGACAGACAGACAGACAGATAGATAGATAGATAGATAGATAGATAGATTGTTTGTATACTTTCACAAGGCACTGTAGACATGCAGATAGATAGATAGATAGATAGATAGATAGATAGATAGATATGTATAAGCCTTGTAAGTAAGTTTGGTAATGAATCACCACTCGTGTCTGTGGTTCATGGACAGTTGACTGATGACGGCAAGTAATTTAAAGCAGTTTAACAAGGCAGCAACATAACAAAACGTGAAAAAATGAAGGGGTATGAATACTTTCACAAGGCACTGTAGACAGACAGATAGATAGATAGATAGATAGATAGATAGATATGTATAAGCCTTGTAAGTAAGTTTGGTAATGAATCACCACTCGTGTCTGTGGTTCATGGACAGTTGACTGATGACGGCCCCAGCCATGACATCCACCGTTGAAAGTCAATAGTATCCTACTTGAAGAATGCAGCGGGTTAGTAGGTCAAAACAGAAGAGGGAGTAGCTGTATGTTTTGACAGATTTAAGCAAAACAGTTTTTTCGTTCTTAATAGAAGAATATATGTCATTAATAGGACCAAGAACGGAAAAAAAATGCCCAGTTCACTTTAATAATTCGTCCAAGAGCGGAAGGACTAAAAAGGAAGTTACGAAAGCACACTTGCTTGTGATTGGCTCTTTAAATGAACGACAACAGAAATGGTCCAATCAGAGCTTGTTGCGAAGGTAATTCCGTCGCATGTGAGTGAGATTTTATGAATTATGCAAATTTGAGCAGTTGTTCCCCTCTTCGGATGAGAGGCTAGATTCAGGATAGTCGAGGAGTTTTGTTGTTCTTAATAAAATATACAAGTCTTTTTGTTGTTGCTACGGAATATATCAGACGAGAATGACTCGTTTTGCTTTGCGTGATTAGATGGCGGCGCTGCACCTCTGAATTAGGGTGTTATAGGCCAGGAAGTTATGAAAAGCCGGTAGTGTTTAAGTGCAGCAAACAGTTTCGCCGGTCGGGGCTGCTCTTTGTCTGACACAGAGAGTAGTCAACACGTGCTCTTTTGTTTGGGGGTTTCTCTTTGTTTACTGCAAACGGGCGATCTTTGTTCTCGTTTAGGCCTCCCGAGGTTGAAATAATTGGTTTGAAACATGCACCACATGAAGAAATATTTCACCGAGGGACTCATTCAGTTTACGATTCTGCTGAGTTTGATAGGAGTTCGCGTGGATGTCGACACCTATTTGAGCGGCTACTTCTCGCCGTTGATAGAAACAGACGGAGGGCCGAGCTCGGCTTTCATACAGACCCCGTTTCATCACTACCGGGACACCGCGGCGGGCCATCAAGTGCATCCGAAATGCCCAGAGCTGGACTATTTTTTCACCAGCCGCAGGCTCTTGAATGAAGTGCGTGCGCTCGGGTCCCCGGCCCGCTTCCCCACGCGTGTCAGCGCATGGCTGGTGCACCTGGTGCCTGATGATGGCTCTGATGCAGGTGAGCCTCACGACCTGTCGGGGGGCCCTGGTGACGAGGAGATAAATACCGAAAATCACCGGGAAGAGGATGAGCACAGGGCTGGAGAGGGCTTCGGTCTGTCAGTTTCTCAGGACCTCACTGCTTCCAGGCCTTGCTGTGCAGCTGGAGAACTTTCCAAAGAGGTAACAATACAGTGCTGTATTACACACTTCCCGTACTTTTAGTTTTATTATGTTGCGTTCTCTTCATGGGGCACGCCAGTAGCCCCATATAACGTGCTTTAAGTGTTTTTAAGTGTACGTGTTTTTGCTGAGTTAGCCAGTTAGCTTCATGGCAAGTAGTATATTGCTCTCGTGAGCAACTGAAGCCGAAAGCGAAACAATGACTGACCCATCCATAAACAAATTAGTTTAATGTTACATATTTAAGAAATGTTGTTAAATATGGTCAAATTAGAAATGCGTAGTTGAATTGATCGTTATTGATCTTTAGGCTGTGATTTTATGTGTTCATTTACGTTGCTTTTCAGCAATGTTTTTCTGCAATTACTGTTTTTGTGGGGAATAAAGTTTACTGCCTAACAAGAATGGTGTGTTTATCAGGTTTAATGTCAAAGTTTAATGTAATGTTAATGTCAAGGCAATCAATTTTGCGTAACAGTAATTTAGTTAATATTTTACTCAACCAGCTCTGTAAATGAATGAGAACAGTTACATTTGATTATGTTAGTTATGGTTCTGGTAATTCAACTCCATATGAACTGTGGTGTTGGTGTGAGATGCTAAAGGGATAGTTTGCCCAAAAATAAAAATTGTCATCATTTACTCACCCTCATGGCATTCATTTTCAAAACAAAAATGAAGATAAGGAAACCTGAAAGATTTCTGTCCCTCCACTGATTATCCACAAAACTCAAAAGTCTTCTTGAATAAGAGACATGATCACTTTATATTAGGGGTGTAATGGTACACAAATATGACAGTTCGGTACGTACCTCGGTTTTAACGTCACGGTTCGGTATGATTTTTGTACAGCAGGGGGAAAAAAATAAACTTTTTATTTTTCATTTTTATGGTTTACTGAACAGGTTGCTCTTTCTTTAAATACATTCAGTTATAGTTTAAATTTTCTTAGTGATAAAAATCTACCTCAGCTTATGCTTAAAACTATAGGGAGCCCTTTTACATTATAAGGTTACAATTAGGCCTAACAACTTAACCCAAACTTAAATTTAATTGATATTTATTTTTAAATAGATGATCAACACTCAACTTAAAAAAAAGAAATAGATAAATAAAAATAAAAATTGTATGCAAACATATGAATTGCACATAATGCAGTTTTTAAATTAACTTATAAATAATTACATTTCTAAGCTATTTGTTAAAATATATTCAATTACACAATGGCTGTCATAGCATGTTTCACAACAGATTAATTTAAACATACTGTACTGTAGTAAGTAATTAAGACTAACAGGTTTAGTAAAATATAATGAGTATATGGTGTAATATTTCGCAAAATGCTCCTCTCTAGACTTAATTTCTCTAGTGAACTAACGAGCTGTGGACACTGATGACTTGCTGAGGTAAATTAAATGCTAGGTGACATTTTGTTTCCCCGCTGTATTGTTGATGTCTTTCCGCGGTTGAAACTCTGATTGAGCAATTACATGAGGCACGAGATGTTCAGTCATGTTTATTCGCGTTAAAACTAGTAGTACAGAGGAAGGCATGATCGAGTTCACTCGCGCTCCGCTCTGCACACATCAGCTGGGTGTCACGGCTCAGACACGGGAACCGGAGCTGATCGCGGCCGCTCTAGTCAGTGCTTGTGTTGGGATTATACCAGCACGTTTCTGAACCGTCCCAGAAGCGGCTCTCTAAGGCGTTTATACAGCGATCGAAGAACCAGCCGAAGAACAGCAGAGTCGTGGTAGAAAGTTCGGAGATGGTATTAAAGTAGCTCAGTTTAAATGTATTGTATGAATTGCCCTTACTATGGAATAAAAAATACGGGGTGTCTATTTACATTTAGTTAAAAGTGGCTATGAAACATCAGCTCCAGTGGCGCAGGTGGATAAGCACTTAGTCTTGGCTTTTTGACGCGATCGACCCGGGTTCGATCCCGCCTTTTGCCGAACTTTTTTTTCCTCCCTTTTCAAATCTCGTATTAGCAATGGATTCTATTTAGACTACGTGAAAATAGCAGTATTTTTTTTTAGCAATATGCTATTTACACTAAGTGCAAATACCTAGTTACACTGTTAAAATAGCAGGATTTCTACTAGCATGTATACTACTTGTTGCAAATAGTGGCAATTATCTGCACTTCAGTATTGTAGTACATTATAAAACAGTATGCAATAATAACGTATTGAGTGTAAATTATAATTAATTATTACATGGATGCCACCTTATTGGTACAATAAAGCCCTCCCTACACCTACCCTACCTACCCGATACTTTATTTTCAACTTTTTGATGATTACCTTAATTTTTATTGAAAATAAATGCCTTTATGATGTGATACGAGATTTGAAATGTGAGAAAAAAAAGTTCGGCAAAAGGTGGGATCGAACCCGGGTCGATCGCGTCAAAATGCCAACAACTAGCGCTTATCCATCTGCGCAACTGGAGCTGATATTTTACAGCCACTTTTAACTAAATCTAAATGCACTCCGTATTTTTTTATTGACAGATGTCTCGTCCAGTCAGCGGTGAGTAATCCCAAACCAATGGCGCTGTCTCAAACTATACCTACCTTTTCTGGTTTGTCTGATTTGTCGTTGTGTTTTCTGACTTGTTATAATGTTTTCTGAATTGTTGTTGTGCTTTCTGAATTGTTATTTTGTTTTGTAGACTTGCATTTGCGTTTGTAATTTGTTATTTTGTTTTCAGAATTGGGATTTGTTCTGCACCTCTCGGCCACCGTAGTCATGCCACATAAAAGACGGTCAAATCGCCATTTATTATTTGAATTTCCTGAGAAAAAAAAAATAAAAACTGTATTCGTGCGGTACACATGCGTACCGAACCGAAAGACCCGTACCGAAACGGTTCGGTACGAATACGTGTACCGTTACACCCCTACTTTATATGGCAAACAACTTTCACTTAGACTTTTATTGACATATAAATATTGATTAACGCACATTCTTTGAGCTTATCAAATATTGTAAACACGGAAACTCAACCGTACTTGCTTGATGCAACATGAGGGTAAATTAGAACTTTGATTTTTGGGTGAACCATCCCTTTAAATAGTTGGACTTTTTATTTATATATTTTTTCTGCTTCTCCTTACAGGATTTGCTGGGTAGTAGTACCCTTCCTCCACCTCTTTCTGGGCTTGAGCTTCCTCCACAATGGCATGACTTCCTCTCTGAATTTGATGTAAGTAGTTTCTGTGGAAGACTCATCCTCCTTTAGAATAGAGGGATCAATAAGAACGGTACAATTTTTATGCATTTGGCATATAGTTTTTATCCAAAATGACTTATATTCAAGGTACACCATTTTGTGTCAAATTTTAGTTCTTGCTTTCCCTGTGAATCGAACCCTTGACCTTGGCATTGCTAGTGTTATGCATAATCACATTATGCATCAAAAGATGTCAGTAGACACTAAAGAATACTTGCATAACTTGCATAAGAATACATAATTGTAACAACACAAAATTTAATATATTTGTGTTTTCATTTATGTGCATTTTAAGTTCTAGACATTTTCAGGTTCTTGTTTGTTTGTGCACATCTGACAATTTTTTACTTTTCCATCTACAGGATTTTGACTCCATGGTCCCCCAACGCATATCCGACTTAGAAGCTGAACTTCCTAATCCCATCAGCTATGACGTAAGCCTTCAAGATGCAACGGTAGCCGGAGGAGATTCAGCTAATAGAAGGCTTGCATCTTCCCAAACACCCCTCTTCCGTCTTGAGTCCACAAACTCTTCTCACTCAGACCCGTCTCAGAGCTCAGCAGGGGCACTTCCTTCATCGCTCTTCTCTTTGTCTGGGAACAGCTCTCGTAATGAAACCTCCCCTTCGCAGATGGGAGGTTATCTAGATGAGGCTGTTTTTGACCACATCAATATGTTGGATCTAGATAATCTTGGTACAATGGACCCTCAGATGCTGGACGGTATGCAAGGGGACATGGACACTCCATGGCCTGAGGATTCAGACTCTGGCCTGTCTTTGGAGAGCAGTTCAAGGAGCCCCACATCCCCGTCTACATCATCCGATTCATTTTGTGAGGATGAAGGTGGAGCTACAGGCTATAGCAGTGAAGTGGAGTCTCTTTTGTCAAAAGGCGGCGCTTGTGCAGCCGCTTACCGGGATTGGTCGCTTGTAAACCTTGTAGAAAACATCTGGCACGATCATACCTATTCAACCCCACAGGCGCAAAATTCTACACCATCTAGCTGGTTCACAGCAATCAAACAGGAAGTGATGAGCGAAGATGAGGCTGAACCAGAAGAGATGAGTCGTGATGAACATCGGGTGCAGGCATTAGGTCTTCCGTTTTCAGCCTTTCAGATTGTCAACATGCCTGTAGAAAACTTCCTGGAGCTGCTGGACAGCCAGAATCTGTCAGGATCACAAGTCACGCTCTTGCGTGATGTGCGCAGACGAGGTAAAAACAAGCTTGCCGCGCAGAATTGCCGCAAGAGGAAGCTGGATGCGATCCTGACCCTGCAGGATGAGGTCGAGGGCCTGTCGGTGCAGCGGGATGCTCTCCTGCGCCAGAGATCCCACACAGCCAAAGCACTTTCTGCTGCTGCAGAGCGGTTCGAAACGCTCTCGCGGACTATGTTGAGCCAACTTCGGGATGAATATGGACATCCTCTGAACCCTGAGCACTACACACTGCACTGCAGTGCTAACGGACGGGTGATGGTTCAGCCTCGCACAAACACAACGTCAAGGACAATGACAAGTAGCAAGACGGTGAAAAGAAAGAAGGACAAGAAACCCTAAAGACTTTTTGAGTGTGTGTGTGTGCATGCGTGTTTGTGTTTGTGTTTGTGTTGACATACAAATATTTCTATGTTTTCTGAAAGGTGAGTTTTTATGCTTGAGAAGATATTATGGGGCATTTCTGGCTCTTCTTTGTTCCTAAAAGCCATTCGTAACTCAAGTGGAGGGCAGAAAGACTGTAATAAATAGTACACTTGGAGCATGGGAGTAGCCTTGTTTATTTGCAGGAGAGAATGTACTGAAAACACTGGACGTTGTGTATAGTAAGAGTGTGTATAAAGATTATTTCTAAAGAGCACATGTGAAAATTAAAATTCATTTTGCTTTTTTTTTAACTGTTAATTTAAATGGCAAGTTACTAAGTAAAGATTTTTTGCATATGGTCACTGGAGGACCATGTTAAAAAGTGTGATCAGTATTCTTGCCGGAATGAGCTTAAAAGGGCTTCTGAAGTTTTCTCACTCTCATTTTGATCCTAGTTTTTTGGGGGGGGAAAAAACGAAAGAAAATATTTAGAAAAATGTCCATATGATGAAAATCAATGGGGACCAATGTTGTTGTCTTTTGCAGACAAGGTTTGGAACGACATGAGGGTGAGTAAAATTTTTGGGTAAACTATCCCTCTAAACTATCCCCACAGAAATTACCTTAATTTCAACTATTTGTAGACATTAGAATCAAACACAACTTTGTGTTAAGCAGTTACCTTCATAACCGTGTATACGTTTTCCTCACCACTGAGAAATAAAATATATATATAATATGATTTTGTGTCTATGACAAACAGTTATCACTCTGTTTAAACTTTTCCTGTACATTTACATTACTGTCACTTACATTTGCATTTTACATTTATGCACTTGCTTAACAAGGAACAATTATAATGCATTCATTTTTATTAAGGGGTTACGAGTTTGGATTGCAGATTTGTTTTCAGTTTGGTTTTCCTTTGGGTTGTTTTTTGCAAACAAATTAAATATACCTTTAGAAGTGATCATCTTTGAAGTGAATGTAAAAACGACAAATAAAGTGGAAGTAATTAAATGAAAATATGGAAATGGTGAGTTTTGTTCTACGTCACAGCACAGTTACACGATTTGGAAAAGGCAAATACTGCATTGGTTTAATGACAAATTAATTAGTGAATTAGTGTGTAACGTAAAATGGCCCAAACAAATCCCAAACATCTCAAATGAACCTGTTTATTTATTTTCTTGGCAGAGCGGTTTGATTTGTGTTTGTGAGTAGGAACTGCTTCTCTTTTCTTTTTTTTTTCTTTTTCTTTTTTTCAGTTTTCTATTAAGTGTATTTTTTAGCAATTATTTGTGTGTGTGTGTGTGTGTGTAAGGGTTTGGAATACATTAATTTTAAATAGGGATGTTCAAAATCTGTCTCTTTTATATCTTTTAAACTGAATAAAGGAGGACAAAGTAATTGTTGAGTTTTTATTGGATTATTTTTGTTTTATGGTTCCCATTTCACAAAACATGGTTTTAGAAACACATGCAGTGCTATGCTGCACTTGACAAAACCTCAAAGCAAACATCCAATCTGCAGGTGTAACGTAAAATGGCCCAAACAAATCCCAAACATCTCAAATGAACCTGTTTATTTATTTTCTTGGCAGAGCGGTTTGATTTGTGTTTGTGAGTAGGAACTGCTTCTCTTTTCTTTTTTCTTTTTCTTTTTTTCAGTTTTCTATTAAGTGTATTTTTTAGCAATTATTTGTGTGTGTGTGTGTGTGTAAGGGTTTGGAATACATTAATTTTAAATAGGGATGTTCAAAATCTGTCTCTTTTATATCTTTTAAACTGAATAAAGGAGGACAAAGTAATTGTTGAGTTTTTATTGGATTATTTTTGTTTTATGGTTCCCATTTCACAAAACATGGTTTTAGAAACGCATGCAGTGCTATGCTGCACTTGACAAAACCTCAAAGCAAACATCCAATCTGCAGGCAAAATAATTGTAACCATAAAAATCCTTGCTGCATCATGCATTTGTGCTGAGTTAATGTTTTTGTATATATTTGAAATCCAGAATGAAAATCTAGTTTAAACTCGTAAATAAACATTTTTTAAACTTTGAAACAAATATCATTATCATTAAACATGACATTAGATTAATACCAAATCTGCACAATTGTTTAGTCGCTGATCTTTTTTGAAAACTTGTCTCAGACTGTTGGGCCCCTCTAAGCAAAGAAAAAAAACCTTACCAGATTCTGAGGGATTCATTCAGTGCCCTCCACTAATATTGGCACCCTTGATAAATATGAGCTAAGGTGGCTGTGAAAAATTGCTTATCCTTTTGATCTTTTATTTTTAAAAATCACAAAATTTGAACCTATCATTGAAGTAAAACAATTGAAAGTGGGAAGAAAATCTCATTATGAAATAATTGTTCTTCTCCAATGCATGTTGGCCACGTTTATTGGCACCCCTAGAAATTATTTTGAGTAAAATATCTGAAATATATTACCATTGACATTAAAAATTTTTAGCACACCAGGGTGACTAGGAGCATGAAATTGTCCAGCCATTCAAATTGCCACACTTCCTGTTCCACAGGATTATAAATATGAGGAACAAAAAGGCCAAATACCCTTAATCATCCATCACAAGGAGTAGAACCAAAGAATATAGTTCTGATGTGCAGAACAAGATTGTTAAGCTCCACAAAATAGAAAGTGGCTGTAAGAAAAGAGCTAAAGCATTGAAAACCCCAATGCACCATCAGGGCAATAATTAAGAGGTTCCAATCAACTAAATATGTTACAAATCTGCCTGGAAGAGGACGTGTGTCTATATCGTCCTAATGCACGGTGAAGAGGAGAGTTTGAGTGGCTAAAGACTCTTCAAGGTTCACAGCTGGAGAATTGCATTTGAGTCTTGGGGACAGAAAGTCTAAAAAAATCAAAAATAAAACAGCCCCTACATCACCACATGTTGTTCGGGAGGGTTTCAAGAAAATTCTCCTTGCTCATCCAAAAACAAACTCCAGCATATTCAGTTGTCAGACACGACGGGAACTTCAAATGGCACTGGCTTCTATGGTCAGATGAAACTAAAAAAAAAAGAGCTTTTTGGCAGCAAACCCACCAGATGGGTTTAGTACAAAGGGGGATAAAAAGTACCCCATGTCCAGGGTTAAACATACTGCTGGATCTTTAATGTTGTGGGCCTGTTTTTCTGCCGGAGGTCCTGGACATCTTGTTCAGATTCATAGCATCACGGTTTCTATCAAATACCAAAAGATAAAAAATCTAAACCTGACTGTCTCTGTTAGAAATCGTGTAATGGGCTGTGGTTGTTCCATTGAAAAGATGTGGTTGTTCCTGAAAAGATCCAAAACAAACATCAAAATCAACACAAAAATGCGTCACTGAGCACAAAATGAAGCTTCTGCCATGGCCGTCCCAGTCCTCTGACCTGAACCCTATAGAAAATGAGTGGGGTGAACTGAAGAGAAGAAGCACCAACATGAAGCTGTGAATCTGAATGATCTGGAGATATTCTGTATGAAGGAATAGTCTATGATCTCTTATCAGGTGTTCTCCAAACTCTTCAGGCATTATAGGAGAACTCAGAACTGTTATCTTGGGAAAAGGACGTTGCAATAATTGGGTGCCAATAATTGTGGCCATCATGAACTAGAGAAAGCATTTATTTCACAATGAGATTTTCCTCCCGCTTTCTTTTGCTTTACTTCATTCAAGTGATTAAACCAGAAAAGAGTCTATATTAGGGTATAGGATCAGGCAGCAGAACTTGTATTAGGCGGAAAATTTACTACTTTGGAAATAATAATAATAATAATAAGCCTATGTCGATTTTAGCTAACTGCTAAAAATGTAATAGTTTAGAAAATATCCAACAAGACATCAACAAGTCGTTAAATCTTAATTTATTTGTATTCCTTTGTTTTGTGTAGAAATACTTTGCATGCAATCTTGCAGATTCAGGATTACATCAGTAACAAAAATACATTATAAATTTTATTTAGATATTTTTTCTAAATAGTTAACATTTACAGGAATGTATAGTTCTGTAGGCGTCCTGGGGTGTTACAAACTATTTGTGAAATCTAGCTAACAAAATATATATTGTGTGTTGGAGTGTTCCAGACGCTACAGTTCAATAATTTAATTCAATAAGTTTTGAGGTCAGTATTGCATGACACTAGGCAAGGCAAGGCAAGTTTATTTATATAGCACATTTACACAATGGTAATTCAAAGTGCTTTACATAAAAGAAAGTAAAATAATCATAAAAAATTATCACAAAAATAAAAAAACAAGGAATTTAAAAAACTTTGAAAATGATTTAAAATGAATTTAAGACAGTTAAAAATAGAAAATGATTATACATAAAATACAGTGCAATCATTTCGGGTTGCATAAAATACAGTGCAATCAGTTCGGACATCGCACTGTGCTCATTCAATAAATGCACAGCTAAACAGATGAGTTTTGAGTCTAGAATTAAATGTGACTTATGTTTTAGCACATCTGATCTCTCCAGGAAGCTGATTCCAACTGCGAGCGGCAAAATAGATAAAAGCGGATTCCCCTTGTTTTGTGTGAACCCTTGGTATTTCTAACTGACTCTATCCTAATGATCTGAGTGGTCTGTTAGGTTTATATTCAGTGAGCATATCTGCAATGTATTTAGGTCCTAGGATATTGAGGGATTTATAAATGAGTAAAAGTACTTTAAAATCAATCCTAAATGTAACTGGAAGCCAGTGTAAGGACCTGAGGACTGGTGTGATATGCTCAGATTTTCTGGTTCTAGTCAGAATCCTGGCAGCAGCGTTCTGGATAAACTGCAGCTGTCTAATGGTCTTCTTGGGA